TGTGCATGATACTCATTACTATCCTACAGTACCTGTGGTCCGAGCGCAATATGCAGGCTGGAAGGATCGCCAGCACTGTGTTTCTGTTCATCTTCTCCGTCTTCTTCGCTATTGGATGGCAGGGTATGGCTTGGTTGTACCAGGTCGAAATCGTGCCACTTCGGATTCGTGGGCCTGCTAACGGTCTTTCGACGAGTGCCAACTGGTTGCTCAACTTTGTGTAAGCCACAATCCGGGTCCATCGCATTAGCTGCGCGACTAACATTGAAACAGTATCGTCTTTATCACCCCGATCGCATTCCAGCGCATTTCCTATCGTACATGGATTATCTTCGCCGTCACAAACTTCGCCATCATCCCCTTGGTCTACTTCTTCTACCCTGAGACCGCCTTCCGCTCGCTCGAGGAGGTCGATGTCATCTTCCAGCTTGCGCACGATGCGCCCGGCAACCCTTGGCTCACCGCCGTTGGCTTCTCTCAAAGCGAGCCTCTCTGGTTCGGAAAGAAGGACCCGGAGAAGCGACTCAACTTCAACTATGGAAACAGCTCGTGGCACAAGAGACTCGTCGAAAGCGTACTCAGTCGTGATAGTGGCAGCGGAAGCAACACGAACAGCGGCAACACCGAGAAGCGACCCTGGAGTAACGGCGAAAGTCCAGACTCTGGTGAGACAGCGGCAGCTACCATCCCTCGTGGACGAAAGAGATCAGAAGAGTCGCCCGTGGACCCTCGACTGCACCTTTCTCCACCATCAAGCCCAACAACGACCATGACGACGACCATCACCAGCACAAATCGCCCACGACGCAAGCTCCAGAAGCGCAACAGCAGCGCCAGCAGCTTAGCGAGTCACGCGAGCCGGTCCCAACCACCACCACCCGTCTTTGGTCTCTACAACCGATCTGCGGAGACGCATCAACCAACCATGCCACACCACCGCCACACACGCAGCACCTCAACAGATTCCCTCCATTCCGTACGCCCAGAATGGTGGACAGAAGATCTTGCACCCGCACCCGTCTCCACACGCAGCAGATCCTCAAGCAGACCAGGTAGTGCAATAGAGGCAGTGGAGACCCGCGGCCGCCCAGCATCCCGTGTCTCCACAAGAAGCGTATCGAACAATGCGCTTAACCGCTTCGTGAACCCTGATCTACTCGCCCAACAGCAGCAACAACGACAGCAACCTCAGAGAGCTGCATCTCATTCATCGCTTCATCAACAATTTGCCGACCATGGCTTTGAACCCGTTGTTGGTAGGGATAGCGTCGACTACCCCGGTATGCTCGGCGGCGAAGAGCACGGCAGAGGAAGAAGCGGTGTTGTGAGGACGGAGAGCGAGAGGGAGACGTACCTCCCTGATGGTGTGTATGAGGTTGTTGAGGGTAGAGTGAGGCAGCTTAGTGCTGGACCTGTCAGGCCGGATAGCGTGGGAAGTTCGCGGAGGTATTCGGCCCGAGACGCTGGGTATGCACGATAAGAGATGATCTGCTAACCTGCTACTATAATCTCGGTTTGTCTCGTGGCGCAAGTAAACACCACTAATTTCTTTTGTAAACTTCGGCTTCTAGCTATTGAAACACGCCTTGTAATACATACATAACAACCTTATCGTGTAATCATAAATGGCAACTTGTAATATCCACAAACACTTGCAGAGTGCATCATCTTGGTGGGAAGGTGTGGATTTCATTTACTTCGTTAAGTTTGTGTACTCGTAATTTCTTCATCAACAGGAGGTCTTTGACCTTGGTTCAAGATAAAGATGGCTTGAAGAGGTTTGAACGAGTGTGGTGAAAAGTCAGTTGGGGGAAAGGGTAAGTATGCCAGGATACCTGATGTTTGCAAGAATTCTTCGTCATCGGTGCCAAGAAGATGAGCGTGCGGGTTTTGCGACTGAGCGGTTTCTACGGACAGATGGTGCTCGTGTGGTCGAAGACCAGTCATGCTTACACAGTCTGGACCTTCATCCGAAGCGCATTTCGATAGCGTAGGCACTGGTCGCAGTTCTTCTGTACGAAGCCTTGAGCACTGCATGTCGTGCAGTCGGGTCCGCGATGACTATCTTCGACTGTCATTATGCCTCTCGATTGAGAGTGCATGCATAGACTGTACCCTTGGGGGCGCCCTTTACATAGGGGACAGGTGGACGTAATCACGGCTTGAGGATGGTCTGAAAAGCACGACGGCGGGCTCAGACTAGCCGTTGAGATCTGATTTGGGCTGTATGGCATTGTAGTTGACATCGTGGAATGCAACGAATGTTCAAATATTTTGCGAGAAGTTTTTTGAGGTAGCAATGAGATGCAAAGTTGAGCCAGGAGAGTTTGATGAAGCAGATCGATGCGGCGAGAGGACCATTGAAACGAGGCATCGTGACTTAATGTCTGTTATGTACGGTTGCAATGATATCGTATCTGCTTCGATGCCGTGTCGACAATGTGCATGCTTACTATTCGTCATAGTCTTTGGCGAACATTGCAACAGCCTGTCGCGCTGGCACTCGCGCGACGTTTCAGGAAACTAGATAAGAGAAGCTGCGTGACTATCGTCAAAGCGAATGGTTGTTGGGAGCGTAAGATGCTGTAGTCGTCATTTCTGGGGTTGCACTCACCGGCCTTGGAGGGAGCCCGGTCTATCGTGATCGTGATGAAGAAATGCCAGGGGTCAGCCAGTAGACACGCGTCGGATAGCAGGCTCTTGTTCCGCCAATCATACTCGTGCCTTTGACGCATCTGAGGTGACCATCGCTGCGTTGTAACAATAGCCTCAACTCAAGCTAAGGTTGGACTCAAACCGGTGAATGCAAGTTCAATAATCTGCCGCACCGATCATGTGTCGGCATGTTCTCTCGTCTATGGCGGCGTGTGATTCCTAGATATCGCAATCGACTTGAGCAATGCCTGCATACCAACCTTCCCGGTCCAGCGGTGAGTACGCGGAACAGTCTCCCCCCTGACCCAGCAGGACGTTGACGGACCGGTCCCTGGACACGTAGTGTACGTCTCATATCTTCACGTTCCACGAACGCCCAGGTACTGATCGCATTCCCGATAAGCAGATGAAGCGACACATCCTTAGTGCGGTAGTCGTTCCGTCTACCAGGAAATGCCGCAGACGGCAACCAGAACTACGCTAAGTTTCACCGCTTGTTTTCTTTTGCGATCCAATCAGCACCTGGGTGCTCCGATATATCTTTGAAGACAGCGCCGTTGCGTCAGAAGGTCGCAAGTGTCAACACTGTTCCACAGCTAATGCTGTGGCCGACTCGTTGGGTTGTGGAATACGCATCAGGGAGTCCGCACTAAGTTCGTGAAAACTAGACAACCACGTCTTCCCTCATCGGAAGATGACCGAGTCGTCACAGTCATGAGACTAGTCGGAGGAGAAAGAACCACCCTCTGCTCGACTAGCCATGATGGCTCATATCATCACCGTCAAGAGCTCTGTACAACATAGGAATCGTTCCAATGTCAGGCCATATTTCGCACATGCCACCCGACAAAGCATGTCTCGGGTACGAGGTCCTTGGAACCTTTGTCCTGGTTCTTTGCGCGACGCCGGGTGAACGCAGGGCACAATATGCACGCTTACGCAGTTGAAATCTGGTATGCTTGCAACCGAATCTGGGTGAGCGCATTGAAGACGTGCACATGACATGAAGAATCTTCTTTTGGACCGACACCGACGTAATGATGCCACAACGCGTCGACAGTACTTTTGTAAAACAAGCGCGTATAAGTCACCGCGGTGACTAAGCCTTGCAATGTAGAGGGGGTATCGTAAGTGATGATGATCACACGAAATGTAGACTCGAGCTACTGATCCCTGACCCCCCGTTTATCTCTGGTCCGGCGTCACCGGTCCACGTTACGATGCTGATATCCGCTAGCGAAGAGATCGATGGAGCGACTTGATGAAAAAGAAGAGGAAATGTAACGTTCGCGCCGCGAGAAGCTCTGAGGCGAAGTCAAAACCTGATGCTGCTGTGACCTGCAGCGTGGCGTCAACATGGCCGTGAACGTGGCTGTTGGAGCTCGGGAAAATTTACCGAACTAACGATAGCGCTTCCTAAAGCATCAATGCCGACTTGTAAGCCTCGAACGAACCCTGATGGCACGACTTGATGACAGTGTACAACACAGTGGAGGATACAGCGTTACCACAGCGCACATAAATCGAACACGCGTCGACGGGCCGTATAAAAGCGAGCTGCGAGATTTTTTCCCGACATTTCGACAGTGCAGCAACAACAAAAGCATGTCTCAAACGGAAAGAGGGTTGATAAATCGAGACTGTCGTTGATGTTGTTCAATAGCGGATGCGTGCTGAACCTTCGATAATCGACGTCATAAGGTCACGCCTTCGCGTCAAAGCGAGTAGCACAGGGACCTGTACTTCTGCAGGAAGGACCTCGATTCGAAGTGCCTCTCATGGGTGTCGCGAGGTCGTACGCGGTCCATGCGTTCTTTGTGTCTCGGAGAAGGCAGCTTGATGGTTCCGTTTTCGGACTGCTGATCGATACGACATCATGCGTCAGGCATGGGGCTGGGAAGAAAGCCTCACGAGATGCTTGAGGGGACATAGAGCTGTTGTGGTGATTGAGGCGACGCCCGGAGGCAGGAGGGAAGGAGGTTGGGGCGGAAGCGGGGCCCACATGTTAGGTAAGCATAGTCCACGAGGGGGTCTTAGCTCGCACAGCGTCATGGCCGTTACCGCAGACAGAACTTCTACATCGCAACCGTATTCATATAGTTGGTACCCGTGATATAGGCGATGCTGGAGAACTGCCTCGAAAATCATATGTCGCCATTCCACGATGACCCAGTACCCCTTATAAAGCGCGAAAAACTCCAGCACACCCGACCCGCGATCGATCGCTCACCCTGCTCGCAAACGCACCACTCTGTTCCTGGCTATACGAACAGTTCCTCGTTCTTCACATGCTTCTCGCCCTACTCCGCCTTTCCGTCCGTTGTGTCGGCCTCACGGTTCTCTAGTCACGCGGACCACGGATGACCTTCCGGGCCGAGCTTCGCGTTCAGAAATCCAAGCTTGAGCAGCTTCTGCACGGTGATCTCCTGCTTATGCGCCTCCATCTCGTCTACATCCCCTGGAAATAATCAGCAGTCGTAGATAAAGAGTTGGGATAGAATGAGATACGTACAGTTGACGCTGAGGAATGAGCCCTTGAGGTAGTCGGCCTTTGGCTGCGCAAGGTACAGCGATAAGCCACCCGTCTGGATGCCCTTGTCGTGCGCAAACGGCGTGAGCTGGTCGACGACCATACCGCGCTTTGACTCGGTCGCAGCGACGATTACCAGGGTGCACGGTGAAGACGCGAAGATTAGGCTTCTCAGCGTCCAGGTACTCGGCCAACTTGAGCAGCGCCATCTTGCTGCCCGAGTAGGCGCTCATGCCGGGAACTGTGAAGGACGAGCCGAGCGTGTTCAGCAGGATGAGCGTACCGGACTCAACGGCCTTGAGGTAGTAGTGTGCGAGGATATACGAGCCCTTGACGTTCACCTCGTAGTCGCTGAACCAAACACTAGGTTCGAGGTCGCCGACAGGTCCGCCTACCATACTACCCGCGGCATGGACCACGACGTGGACGGTGCCAAAGGCATCGGTCGCCTTCTTGAACAAGTTCTGGACTTCGGCCTCGTTGGTCAGATCGGCGGTGGCACTGAGGACCTTGGTCTCGGGGCTGAGGGAGGCGATGGCGCTGGCGGGCTCTGCCAACAGATCTTTGTTGCGGCCGACAAGCACGATGCCCTTGGCGCCGGCTATAGCCCAGGCACGAGCCACTTCCTATTCGTTGGCGTCAGCATCCATCTCGCGCGATCGACAACGGACCGTCTTACGCCTCCTAAACCACCTGTGGCGCCCGTGATCAGGATGGTCTTGCCCTTGGCGCTGAGAGTGGAGTTCTTGGGATCGATGGCTGGGTATACATCGCGCTTGAGCGACTTGGTGAGCTGGAACGGGGTCGTGAAGGCGTTGGGGTCCATGGTGAGGATGGGGAGGTTGCGTTCGAGGAACAGCGGCAGAGAAAGTGGTAAGAGAAAAAGGTATTCGGGTGATTGACAAGTGTAAAGCGTAGGGATTTGTACTGTTGTTGTTGCGATCATATGTGCAGCAGCGACCATCTACAGCCTCAAGTACTTGCGGCGTCAGCCTTGCGTAACGCACCGTCAGGCACTGTCGAGCAACGTGCATACTGAATTATCTCAGCAGTGATGCGAGCCAGGGACTGATTTACAAGCAGCAGATGCGAAGCGAAGGCCGACCCCGAATTGTATTTCAAAGCATGACTCGGGTCCCGCGCTAGAACCCCCCCTACTTGACGCGTGATCATTTGCGTTCTAAGTTTGCGAAGCCGCCAGTATGTTTCTGATTGCACGAGCATTTCTTTAGTATACTGACGCGTCGTTAGACTTCATTCGCTCTCCAGTAGCAAATCGCTTTGCGAAGCTTTCAACCATTGCTCTGGGACCGGGTCTAGTCCCATCCACATTCCTTCACGGTCACCATTCCGCCTTCATTTACATGTTGGAACGAGTACCATCGCAAAGCATACATTCTACATGGCCACTGGAAATTTGCTCTTCGCGCGGATAGCTGGCCCGAATTTGAAGAACACAAATGGGATAGGTACCATCACCAGACACAGGAAGCCAAGAAGAGACGTCGCCCAGCCGATCCCGAGAGCATTATACACTGAGTTAGATGTTAGCTTGTTCAGGGCTCCAGATATTGCTATCGGCTGGTTCCACATTTGATGACGTACTCTGCACGGTAAAGAGGGGAAAAACAGCCCCAAGCGTGTACCTGACGATTCCATTCGCTGCTATAGCTGACGCGCCGTTCATCGCACCGTATACATCCGCAAGGTAGAGCGCAGAGGATGTCTAGAAATCAGGCTGTTAGTGATAATGGAACATGAACTTGAGCTTCGCAACTTACGAAGACACAGATATTGCCCCATGCAAAAGGTATAACTCCCACCACAGTCGGAGCCCAATGAACGCCCTTATCAGCACACCAGCCAAACCAGAAGAGACCAATAACCATGCCCCAACTACCAAGCATTGCGCTATATAATCGATGTTCCGGGTCAGCGTTCGGGTTGCCTTTCAAGGTGGCCTGATGATGTTTTTTCAGGTAGATCGTGCGGTCTATGACAATGGTAGTCATACCTCCAACAAACACACCAATACTGATGGGAATAAAGGTGAGTCCAGACTGAGACGGCGTAAAGGAATATGGCGGACGTGAGAAGACATAGGGGAAAGCTGCAAAGAAGAGAAACAGCACCGCAAATGCGAAACCTGTGTAGAGCGAGACGAAGAACACTGCAGGCTGTGCATGTTTAGCTCAAGCACGAACGAAGATGTGCGGGAGCTTGCAATCATACCTCTGTTGAGAGCATGTGAAGGGGCCGAATGAACCTCAGAACGATCTCACGCTTGATGTCTCCATTTTCTTGTTTCTTTTGCACTCCGTTGTCCTTCATTCGCTTCTTTAAGATGATGGGCTTGTAAGTCTCATCCATTGGTATAGATGTGGCATACACAGCCACCGCAAGGAAAAGAATGGACCATTGTGTCCACGGCCAAGTCTTGTACTGCGCCACGAATCCTCCAACCACGGGTCTGCCATCACGTCAACATCTAGTAGAGCAATAGACTCTGGACGATACATACCCAATGGACGGCCCAGCGAAAGGAGCCATCAAGTAGAAACTGGTAGCCAAGGCGCGCTTATGCGGTGGAAACAAATCGGCATTCGTTCCAGCACCAACAGCTAGTGCTGGACTTCCAAACAATCCTGCGAAAAATCGACACACAACCAGGCCTGCGTATGTTTTCGAGAAGCCTGCACCGAGAGTGAACAGCATGAATATGGGGAAGAACACCAGATAGACAGCTTTTCGGCCTTTCCTTTCGCTAAGTGGTGCAGTAACGATTGGACCAAACGCGAGGCCGAGCGTGTAAAGCGTTATGCCGATGAGCGCAGCCGTGCGCGATACGTCGAAGTCACGCATGACGTCTGCGAGCGCAGGTGTATACACCGATGTTCCAAAGGTGCTGCATCGTCAGTACTTCCTAGTGTTACAGGCTATCTTGTGACTCACACAGTGAATCCAAAGAGGGCTGGTATCATCGTATGATAAGCCAACTTCCATGTAGACCAGTTATGCGGGTTCTCAGGGTCGTCCGGACCATCCCAGTCCATAGGGTCGACGGGGCTGGTGAACGATCCATCTTCGCTAGCCGGCCGTTCACTACAGCGTCGTTCATCCTCGAATTTGGCGGGTTGGCATGGAGATTGATGTTCGGGGTCGGACTTCTCTTCGTTGTTTCCAGCAATGACAGTCTCAGTCTCATGGATCAATGTCGCATGTCCATTCTGGCAATCGTGGTTCATGCTAGGAGTATGGCGAGTTAAGTCGGGGTGCTGTGAAAGGCACACGGGATATCCTCCGCTATACTTCACAATGAGAGGATATGTGCTGTATATACCCGGTGCTATTTCCTGTTCCCCGCACGCGTTCAGAGTTACGGCCGAGAGCAAGCGCAGCGCACTATCAAGTCTGCCATATTTAGTTACTCACATCCTCCACGAGACTATCGCTCGAAGAAGAGCTGTGCTGTAAAGGAGTGCGTGATCCTGATTGGCTGATTGTGAGGCGACCCGAGGCTCGGTATTGGGTTTACTGATCACAAATCACACATTAAACGGTGGCTTACTCACGTGACGAGGCGCGTCGAGATCTCGGGAAGGTATAGCATCGCGTAGTACGTGCCTGAGCCTGGTAGCTTCGGGACCGGGGCAACGTTTGCGAAAGCGAAGTGGGATATTTGCGTCTAGAAGAGGGATGGAGAAGAAAACCGCGATAACGTCATCTAGCTTGGCAAAATGCCGATCAGCTTCGACTTCAAACCTCATTCATCCTGAGCTGAGCGTATCTTGGACATCTTCATCACGTTTAGATATTCTTGATCTCGTTTACGGTTTTCTACTGCTGCTTAGTGCAGTATTCTGGCAAGCGCGGTCGCACACAGAACGAAATCCGTTGTTGTGGGAAGGGGCTGGAGAAGCCGCGTTCGCGACAACCTGACCGCGACCGTTATATCAGCTCTTCTTCGCATCGGCTGGGGCTCGACAAAACAAGGAGAGAATGCACCCTAGCGGGCTGTAAGAGACTCGAACAGCTTGCGACACGTTTGCTTCTTCACAAAGGTCGCGATCCAGCTATGAGGACGCCTGTCGTGGCCTTCTTATTGTTCGGATGCAGACTGTCATGCTGTGACATTGCAACTTGATCCAGCATATTAGGACAGAAACTGAGCAGTCATATTAGCCTCACAATGCTAACACGAAATAGCATCGTAGGGGTCATCGCCTGCAAACTCGTCTGCGGTGGTATCGCGTTTCGGTACCACTGAAAACCAGGTCTCCGCACCCACATCGCCGTGGATCATACAGGCCCCCCATCGCGACAACGAGTATACCGAACTGATGCAATCAACAATTCCTACGGACGACAACAATAACTTGGAGCTAATTCTAAAAGTGAAGGGAAGAGTTGTGAACGCACGTGCGTTTCCCCTTCAAGGCATGGTTGAGTGTTCTTCGACACTAGGCTCCCATTCTTAACAGAACGCTCTACCAGATCTTATAACTGTGTCCACCCTGGTGTCAACACATACGCCCACATTCTTTCATATCGCGCAGTGAATTCCTCTAATTATTAGTATCCTCCAGTAACTCCTACATACAGCGAACATGATGGGTTCAAAGCGCAAACACCAAGCCGAGAAGGACTGCGCGCCTTCGCAGTTGCCCAGAAAGCGCAGTCGTCGCGACATTCAGGAGAGACGTGCAGTTTCCCAGAATAAAAGCAATCACGATAGGGGTGCCAGGCGCAGTCGCGGTGATGACAGACAACTTCCATACCCAAAGCGCGGTCATAAGAAGCCTACGAACATGGCTGCAGAGCTTGCGAGCCTTGCCGACTACAACGCACCTCCCGTGAAGCGATCTCGGAGGGATACCGTAGCTCAGCTTACCGATGATGAAATGCCCAAGGCCAGGTCCAGCCGCAACCGCGTTCGTGATTTACGAACTTCAGGGTATGCCGCTCAGTCTGCCAATTTGAGCGAAAAGCTTCGTGTACAGGGTGCGCGCATCACCAAATCAACAACCACAGGCGCCCACCGAAGGAAGACAAGCTTCGAGGAGAAAGTCAGAGCAGAGGCTGATAGGTTGGGTCCTTGGCTTGGTTGGGTATCAGAGGAAGAGACAGACGATGAGAGCGACCAGGAAGCCCAATACGTGCCGCGCTCACATTCTCGTCGATATCCACCAAAGAAGCCAGGTACTCAGAATGCACCCTGGATTGATCTACCGGGTGAAGTCCGCAATTTGATATATCAATACGCCATGACCGACGAAGAGAAGAAGATTTTGAACGTTCGCCACTACCCCGAAGGCGTACCTCGACGCTCTGTTCGCGGCATAGCTTGTCCGACCAACTTTGCGCATTCATATTGGGGCCTCACTCAAACCTGCCGCCAGATTCGGAATGAGTTTACCCCTTGGCTTTTAGAGAAGCATCGAGTCCGTACCGCGCTTGAGACCATCAACGAGTACGTCAACATCTTCCATCGACCAGATAAAGACGGCGAGGTAGCAGGATGGGTGGAGCCCATCTGCTGCGGCGCACCACTCCCTCAACACGGTGTTGATATTCTCTCCTTGTTGAAGCTTCGGGAAACCAGTTCAAGATTTCATCTTCAGCTGACTCCAACAACTATAAGCGAAGCTCTAGACGCCTTGATCATGCCCACCGATCCGGATGACTTCGATGAGCTGAAGATCATGCGGGATATGGCAAGAACGTTTCGCACTTGGTCACAGGATAATGTTATCAGCTTGATAGGCCTGGATGGCATCAACGTCACCTCGGTACCCAAAGGATTGAACACCATCACCAGTACCACTG